ACATTTAACAAAAACGTTTGCTTCAGTGTAAATGCAAGATTTATCAATTGTTTATTAATTTATAATATATTTATAAATTTTTAATATTATATAAATTGATCAGCTAGGTGATATCACGGTGCTGATATAGCTTTCGAAATAATGTAATTTTAATTCCATTACACAATAAAGAGTTTTATAAAACGCTTTGAATTCAGAAATCTTTATCGGTATCAGACATTTTCAGGCAATTTGAATATTTTTTTCTCACCTTCTCTTAATTCAAACAGTTGCATAAAATATATTTTCTACATCACTAGTTATTTATATATTATATTATCGTTATTAGCTTGCATGTCGAGGTAGTAAGTTTTACACAAATAGGTATTTTAAAATATTTATTCGCGGCAATTTTTTTCGAACCAGAAATTTCTTTTTAATACAAATAACCAAAGACAGCTAAGTACTTAAAATTTTTTTTGTAGTTCATTTTTCATATATTATTTTGCAGTTCATCAATTCGTGGTAATCATCATCCTTGATAGCAAATCTGTAAGCAAGAATTAATGTTTAAAGTCTCATTTGCATTTTAAGCTAGAATTTTTCAAAAGAACGAATCCTATCTTGTTTTTGAACTTTAATCTTCAGATGCTTTTAAGAAACTTTTATTTAAAAAAAAGGAGCTGTGTATAAGAGTAAAAATTTTTTTAATGATGCCGGGTTATAACCTAACTCACAAGTATGGATTATGGTTTGAATGAGCATTATAAAAACATTCTTTTTCCCCACCCAAATTTGAAATCTAATCATATGATTGTGAAAAAAGTTAAAAATGACATTCGAGACGGGATATTATGTAATGTTAATAAAACTGGTAAAACTAAAAACTATTATGCATTGCTAAAATATTTTGAGCAAGTTAAACCATAATATTGTTCAAAGTTGCTGGATCTTCAATACGTTGTCAATTAGAACATTTATCGCCTAAATTAAAACATCTGAAACTTGATTACTCGACGTTTTGGTTCAATTTAAACGGAAAAAAAAGTTTCAAGTTGGAATGAAAACATGGTTTGGCTCGAACGAAAACGAGGTTTAACTTGAATCAAAACATGTTTCGATTTGAATGGGAACAAAGTTCATCTTGAACGGAAACAAGGTTCACCTTGAAAAGGAATATGTTCAACTTGAAAAGGAATATGTTCAACTTGAAAAGGAATATTTCAACTTGAAAAGGAATATTTCAACTTGAAAAAGAAATATGTTCAACTTGAAAAAGAAATATGTTCAACTTGAAAAAGAAATATGTTCAACTTGAAAAAGAAATATGTTCAACTTGAAAANTCTGTTCAACTTGAAAATGAATCTGTTCAACTTGAAAATGAATCTGTTCAACTTGAAAATGAATCTGTTCAACTTGAAAATGAATCTGTTCAACTTGAAAATGAATCTGTTCAACTTGAAAATGAATCTGTTCAACTTGAAAATGAATCTGTTCAACTTGAAAATGAATCTGTTCAACTTGAAAATGAATCTGTTCAACTTGAAAATGAATCTGTTCAACTTGAAAATGAATCTGTTCAACTTGAAAATGAATCTGTTCAACTTGAAAATGAATCTGTTCAACTTGAAAATGAATCTGTTCAACTTGAAAATGAATCTGTTCAACTTGAAAATGAATCTGTTCAACTTGAAAATGAATCTGTTCAACTTGAAAATGAATCTGTTCAACTTGAAAATGAATCTGTTCAACTTGAAAATGAATCTGTTCAACTTGAAAATGAATCTGTTCAACTTGAAAATGAATCTGTTCAACTTGAAAATGAATCTGTTCAACTTGAAAATGAATCTGTTCAACTTGAAAATGAATCTGTTCAACTTGAAAATGAATCTGTTCAACTTGAAAATGAATCTGTTCAACTTGAAAATGAATCTGTTCAACTTGAAAATGAATCTGTTCAACTTGAAAATGAATCTGTTCAACTTGAAAATGAATCTGTTCAACTTGAAAATGAATCTGTTCAACTTGAAAATGAATCTGTTCAACTTGAAAATGAATCTGTTCAACTTGAAAATGAATCCGTTCAACTTGAAAATGAATCTGTTCAACGCGAATAGGAACATGTTCAATTTGAATTGAACTACCTGCTATATTGTAAAATAATATGGCACAGGGAACTAATATTATAATTGAACTTAAAATCAATCTTTCGGAAAATGTAATCAAATAGTTCCGGAACTTCATGTTCTACATTTTGTTAAACATCTTGGTAAGAGATTCAGAATATACGTTTTGAAATATAATTAATACAATCAACTTTGTTGACTTTCTTACATTTCTCTGAAAACAGGATAACCAAATGATTTCATTGTAATAAATCTCTTTTAAAAAAACATTTATTTTACATTTCGCAATAATGATGCACTCACTTATTGAAAAAGACATCACGATACTAGCTTGATTTATTGCAGATTTCATACTTTTAACTTGATTTTATTACCTTAACAAACTATTCCTCATGTTCCAATTCTTTTCTACGACAACACATTTTTAAATGATATAAAGGTTCGTAAATTTAACTATACTTTCAGTATCCAGACAAAAGAAAAATGAGGTAAGTGAAAATCGAAACGGTTTGAACGGCTACGGTTCGTGAAGTTATGCCAGTTTTTTTTTCTTTCTTCCTCGGCATGGTTTGTGGAGCGTGGTAACTTGGAAAGACAAGTGCCAGATAGAGATCTCTGGGTGACAGGAAAAAGGGTGGCTAATTGGTTCTGTTTCCTTTTTGTTTCAAATCTTTTGTCCAGATCATCTTAAAACGAAACAGAAAATGTGCAAGTTTTCTTTGTTTGAACTTAGTAATTAGAAATTAATTTCTGCATCTGGTGTCAGCTGATTTTTTTTTGATAAGAGCAAATTACTTTATTTTGCGATGCGCACCAAAAATACGTGGTGTTCGCTTTGATCTTTATGATAAGCAAAGTGTTTGAAGGAATAATCAAGTTCAGAAAGTTATTGATCCAAAATAAGATATTTGACATCTATAAGCATCTGTCTTTTTTTTTCTTTCAATTTTTCTTTTCTTTATTTACTTTTTAGAAAATGCATGTTATTACTATATTCTAAGTAATATATAATAATGCTTAGAGAATACCAATAATAATATAGTATTACTATATTCTAAGTTATTATAATATTACAGAAAGTATTGTTAATTTTTCTTTTGTTCACATCAATATTTTCTGCAAAATGTTATATTGTATTTTCATAAAAAATTTAAGTTCAGTTTCGTTTAGTACTTTAAATTTCTATGATATTTAATAGCCATAGAGATGACTTATACAAAAAGGCTATAGTGCTCACCAGAAAAATATGCTCATAAAAATTAGGACCACTTTGATTTTACACTAAAGTTAAAATCAAGAATGGCATAGTATTCTTTTTTTGCATTGTGTTGGATCTTTGAGTGTTTGAAACGAAAGCCACGATAATCCGAAAGGTTACTTAAAAATCGTTTAAGCGTTAAATCATAATATCGTATAAAATTGCTTTAACCATAATAGATACAGGGTTAAATTTAACCATATTTTTGTTCGAATCGAGCCATGTTATCGTGTTATTAAGCCTCAGATGATGTAATTGACTCGATAATATGGTTCAATTTTACACCGTATTAAGGTTGCAGAATATTTGCACGATATTATGCACTAATGTACTCCAAAAGTTTTGAGTGTATTTCAGGTCAACTGTATTATTTAGCACTTAACAACTTAACAATCAATGCAGTTGTTTATTCAAATGCACGTAAAGAATGGTCACCCAATCTTGATTGCTACACACTGTACTATTGCTCGTGTATCATTAATGTAACGAATGAATTATTGCGTATCATTACAATTGTGCATCATTATTGTAAAGAATGAACTATTTTTTCGTTCGAATCGTGTTATCAAGCCTCTAGCCTTCAAGGCACATTTTACAGAGTATTAAGGTTGCCGAAAATTTGCTCAATATATATATCATATCATATATATGCATCATATAATAATATATCACGCCTTAAATTAAGACGTGACATTGAGTATTGATTGGGAGTGCATTAATAATGCACTCCCAATTTTTTAATGGTGTATTTCAGTGAAGTTATATTTAAAAAAAAATTACACTTAACTATTTAACATTCAATGCAATTGTTGGTTTAAATACATATAAAGAATGGCCCACTGTTCTCAGTCTTCATTGCTACCCAAGAATCACTGAGCTATTGTTTGCGTACCATGTGAAAAATCGGCTCAAAAGTTGAACCGGTTGAGTTCTGAGATCGGTACCTAGTGCAATGTAAGTTTGCTTCAACCTTCAAAAGTTTTAAAATTGAACCGCGTCACCGTTCAAGTTGATCCAAGTATCGTATATTCAAGCTTAGGAAGGATCAATTTCTACCATATTATGGTTAAACCTGTCACCTTATTAAAGTTACTGTACATTTGAGAGATATTGTAGTACAACATGGTCCAAAATTTTGAGCAGTGTCTGAGGGAGTTTCCTGTAGTTTAAATATGTAGTTCATTGGAAATTCATATTTTTTCAGACCAAAAAAAATACAAAGTATTTAACTGTAATTCTGAATAATCGGAAAAATTGATCTTTTTATTGTTTCATACCTTTCGAGGAGTAGAAAAAGACTAATAAATAAATAAATGAATGAACAAATAAAATTAAATTAAAATTTAAAAATTAAAATTTTTAAAATTTTAAATTTCAGAATTTTAAAAATAAAATGGCGGTATATAATGGCGGTAACTAATTCGCGATTTGAGGAGGCACAAAATGATATAAGACTGTAAGTATAAATTTTAATATCGGTATGAACTATGGAATCTTTATAATGTATTTTAGCTCTTAAATAAAGTTAAAATGTTGAAAACATTAGATCTGCGTCTATAAGATATTTTTGTTAACAAAACCTTCTTCAGTTAATGTAACAAAAATATCATAACTAATAACTTGTTTTTATGTACAGGTATCGATGCATAGTACCAGGTAGATTACCCCGTGGTTCACCATCCAGAGATGTATGTCGAGTCATTCTTGACAAAATACCAGGATCCAAGGACCAGTACCAACTAGGAAGTTCGAAGGTAAAATATACATAATCTAATGCGAGATCAACTTTATTATTTTTCATTTATTTCTTCTCTAGTTTAAACAGATTTTGAATCGGGCCATTCTTGTAAGTTATTTAACATTAATATAGATTATTTGTGTATATATTTGATTCAATTTATACCATTTTAAAGAAATCAAAACACAACGCAAATAATGATAAATCTTAAAAAAATGGGGGCTATGTGTTTTTAAAATAGAAAAAAAATTTTTTAATGTAAAACTAAGAGGCGTTTTTCGTCTTATAGGAATACTTTCTCCAGTTCTACAATAGCTCAAGAATATGAATTTGAAGATAATTAAACAGAAAAATTTGATAGGTGCATCAGCAGTAAAGTTTGAGTTACCTTAACATCATATTGATGTAACATACTTTCACAATGTAACGCAAATTTAATTTAGTTTGACTAAATCCCGAATGTGAGATTAAACCAATATTTTAAGATTGATTCATCATGTCTACTGAGTCTGGTTATAAGCCTACGGAATTTAATAACATATCTTTGAATCCATTATATGTATAGTGCGGCTTTCTGAAGAACTCCTCCAGACATCCGTCTCGCGTCGTGGCGGGTACTATGGTTACGAGGAAAGGACACTTTGAATAGGGCTGTGAAGTGAATAGTTTTGTCTTAATCTCAGCGTAGGTCGTTGTGAGTAAACCAATCGACACCTTCTTTCCTCCATTTTCTTTCCTCCATTTCACTCCCATTAGAAATGTGCTCTCCCTTGTTACCATAGTAGCAAACAGCCCCAGACTTTTAGTCTGGAGGAGTTCTCGTCAAAGCCGCACTATACTAGTTGTTCTATGCCGTAAAGAAAACTTGTTGTGGGATTTGAAACTGAGATCTACCACAACGCCATTTTACTTATTGAGAACTATTAATTATATTTTTAATGAAAGGTTCTTTTTTGTAATTTATAATTAAAAATAAAGATTGGTGCTTTAAAGAAAAATATGAAGACTTCACAAAATCTTTTATTTTCAAAACGTACAGTCCGCAAAAAAAAAAACG